TCGAAGAAGACCGCAGCGATGGGTTCCACAGCGGCCCTTAAGGAACTACAGAGAGACCTTGAGAGCAAGGCCAACGATCTGAGCAAACTCCAAAAAGGTATAGTTTCCCTCACTCCCCACCCCTTCAATAAACCCTAACACGCACTGTACACTCTTTTTGTGGGTGTGTTTTTTATATGTATGTAGACAATTTGTGCAGATATAGCTAAGAACCACCAAGTCCGAAAGAAGTATACTATTCAGCTTGGAGAAAACGAGCTCGTTCTAAGGGTCCTACCTTGCCTGCTTTCTGTATGCGTGATTTGATTTTTTTGGTTTAAAGTATTTATATTGGATATTTGGGGCTTGTGTTTGAAGGAATTGGATCTGTTGAACGAGGATGCAAACGTTTACAAGTTAATCGGACCAGTGCTAGTCAAACAGGACTTGGCGGAAGCTAATGCCAATGTTCGCAAGCGAATAGATTACATCTCTGCCGAATTGTATGTCCTTTTTTACTTAGCTAATTTGGTTGTTGTTTACTTGTGGCTTTTGTTTCATTTAATCTAATTCTTTGGTAGACTTGGCATTTCAGTATGCCTGACCTATTTACTCTGGTTGAGCTCATATCTGAAACACCTCATGTATTTCATGGAGCCTCAGCCCAGAAGCAAATTGATTTGTAAAAACTTGAAGACTTAGCCCAAATTCTTGGTAAAAATAAAAACGAATAAAAATTTTAGCCCAGCTCGAAAATTAATTTTAGCATAATTAACTTTATTCCCAACCCAAGGCCAATGTTCAATTATTCAAATTTAATTTAAGACTCTACAACAATTACATATTTATTTTATTCATATTCATGATTCACAAATAACTTGTTACCAAATTAGGTATTTTATTTCGCACATACATATATAACTAAGTTTAAAGAGTTCACTTATAATCAAATTAGTTTATTATATAACAAATAATTTTTATTGATTAAAGATAAATGACATATTTGAACAGTATAAAATGCCACATGTTTGACGAAGTTTAAAAGTAATTAAATTTTTTCTAATGTATTTTTTCATAAATTACTTATTTATACTTGTGCTTAAGAATTTATTTATTTCGATCATGAAATAAATGTTATTATCAAAATAAGTAATATGCTTTATATTTAATTTTATTAGTTAAAAATATATTTGTTAGAAAATTGTTATGAGTGTCCCAAAATATATTTTAACTCACATTATTATGAGAGTTATGAATTTAACCTTTTAAACTAAATCTCGAGTGGTATAGAGCATCTTTTATGGTATGAGTTCATTGAAAAAAAATTAAATTTCAGCACACCCTAACGTATCTTTCTGGCTCCTCCCCTGTGTGTGTAACACTTGATAAATTCTATTTTAATAAATTTAATATAGTTGCAATTATTATCTAGTTCATGCTTGTGTGTATGGAAGCATAGCTCGTGAGGAACTGACATAAAATCATTCAGACGTGAAACCATATTCTTCTGAAGTCTAATTTCGAAATCCTAACACCTCCACACATGGCACATAAACATGGAACTGTATGCCTCACGGTCTGATGATCTTCTCATCTATTATCATTAATATCTACAGTTGCAACTTCTCTTCAACATTTGAAGAATCATATTCAAATGCTTATCTTATCATGGGGCTGGTCAAGGCTATGTCTGAAGAGTTTCAGTGGCTCCTCCACTGTGCTCTTTTTTCCCTTTTCCTTGCATTTTTCTCTGTATTTTTTCCCCCTTGCTCTCTCTGTCAGTGCCAAATAATTCTCAGCAAAGCACATTACTAAAGAGTCTTTTGTCTTCGCTTACTGTGAGATGGGGAGAGCTCTCTTTTGTGTCATTATTGGCAAAATCCATAAAAAAATTTTATGAGATGGCTCTTGTTTTCCTCGAAGTAGCTGGAAGTTTATTTGATTGATATGTTCTTTTAGTTTGAATTTCCCTTGATGAGGACACCTGGTTCTCTTTTTTTTTGTACCTTCTTTCTCCAATAAAAGTTTTCATTTTTTTTTTAAAAATGTTTTGTAATTTTATATTATTGTTCATTGATGAGTTCACCCCACTGGTATAAACTCTTAAAAGTTGAACCATGTAAATTGTGAATAGTTTGAATGATTTCTTGCAGATAATTAGATATCCATTGCTACCATGTGTAATGAAATTGTTGAGTATTCTCCTCTTAAATGCCATTTTGTTCTATCAAACTTATTATTGTTATTGCTTCTACAATTCCCACTGGCTTTAAATGTCTAATCTTGTATCTTGTGCACCAGGAAGCGTTTGGATGCCACACTTCAAGATTTTGAAGAAAAGCAAAACAGCAAGAAAGAAGCGGTTGGTATCTGTTCCCTTTTATCATATGTTTCTTCCTTAATTCTCATATTTGAGTTTTTTTCTTTTAAACATTTACTGCATATTTGGCTATGTTATTTGTAGTAAGTCAAATTAACTTGTTTACAAGTAACGCATTGTTTACTATCTTACAATGGTGACTATGAAGATGATGCTTTGTTGTTATGATGAGATTGTAATGATGCTAATGCAATCATCTAAAAGTTGAAATACTGAATCATTTTAGTTACCAGTGGATTTACTTCTTGAAATGAACATCAATATGGAAACAGCTTTACACGTGAGAAGATTTTGCTTGGGTAGAGAAGACGAGGGAAGAAAATACAGTAAAATGACTTGAATATGACTTTCTACTTTCTATTGATCTAATCAATATATCATGTTCGGTGTCTGGTGGTTATATGGTATGAGTAGAAGAGAATACCGTTAGATACGGAGTCTAGTTGGAGTGGGGAGGGAGAGAGGAAATGGATAGATTACTATTATTGTAATCTTCCAGGAGGGTAATATATACATAGCTCAATGGCATAGGAAGCTATAAAATGCCCGCATTTTGTACTTATCAGAAGAAATTAGTGATGCACATTATGCCCATGTTGGGGGGTTCACATCAATTTGTTATGTGACAAATGACACTTTAATTATTAAATACATAATCGTATCCCTTGTTTTTTTTTTTCCTTTGAACTCTCTTTTACTGCATTTTGCTTTTATCACTTTTCTATTCTTTTTTCATTTTTGTTGGTTCTTTGTACGGTCACATTTTTGTTTGTAATTTTTACATCAGATTGCAATACTAGAAAAGGTTAAAAGATATCATTCTCCCATTTCCCGCAATCAGAAAGTTAGCTTAAACTAGTTTAGCATTCTTCTCATGTGGTTGTTTCTTACTTATTTTGCTATGGATTCGAAACCTGTTAGTTTCGTGTAATATTTAATAGCCATGTTTCCTTTTATATTTTGCCTATGTAGATTTTTAAGGTACAACAAAGAATTCAGTCTCTCCAAGCTGGAAAAGGCAAGGCATGATATGGCCGTATCAACATGCTTTTATTCTGCAGTTCTAATGTCAACATGTTGAAGCACAAATATGAATCATATGATCTCTCTTTTTTGAGTGGCACAATATAACAATCGCCAATGGTATCATATTGTAGGTTATTAAATTGAAATTTGTATTTTTTTTTTTTTCATGCTTGTTCGATTATATAAATATCATTCTCTGAACATCAATTGAATGTCATATGCATCTTGAGAACTCACTGGGCACTTGCTGTGTTTGGTTGATGGGATTAGATAGCATTTGATTGTATTTAAGAAGAAAAATAAGTTAAAATCTTATTTGTTGTACTTGCAATTGGAGTTAATACTGCATATGGAACCTGACCTTAGCATTTAGCCTTCTCCTCCACATCCAATTTTCATCTGTTTTCAATATTGAGATGGAATTCTAAGTTGCAGAATGATTCAGCTTGTGTTTGACACCCATTTTGGGGGAAAAAAAAATTTCTGGAATAGTGATTGATGGAAGAATGTGTGGTTGGAAAGTAATGAAATTTTTTTAAATTTGTGTGTAATATTATTTTATTTGAGAATGTGTGGTTGAAATGATAAAAGAGAAAAACAAATAAGAATGAGTGCCAAACAGGCTCTCAGTGTTGCGAAATCCAGAAAAATATAAATTAACAAACTTTTAATTGATAACATTTCTTTTCATTTTAACTCTTTTTCGAAATATGAATTATGCATATACTATATTTGGAATTTTTTTTTTCATTTTTATGAAGTGATTATTTAAAATCATCATAATCATTGATAGGTATATTGATTATCACTTGAATAATATATTCATTAGTAGGAGATTTCATTACCACGTCATTTTTTGTTAGGATAGTTTAAAAGATGCTCGACATCCATCACATTTTTATAGCGTAGATTTGAAATAGTTTCATGCAATCCATTGATTCGTTTATCTTCATTAACTTTTGGTTCAATATTAATATCTACATCAGACCAAATCTAGTAGTGTCGAAAACAATTTGCAATAGTTGTTATCTTCTCACCAATGTTTCAAGCCGCATTAATAAAATTAATAGCGTTCAATACGTTTGTTTTTTCAAAATTTGTTGCTCATAGCCTTCAAAATGTTAGAATAAAAAAGTTTATAACAATTTTTTAGCGCTCTAATAATTTTAGCATCACATGGTTGAATCCTTGATGTTATGCTAGGATGCAAGAAAAATAGTTCCAACAGTTCTGAAGCCTTCGATCACAATTCAATGTGCCAACAAACAACAAACAAACAAACAAATTCTTGAAAAAGTAAATCTGTCATCCATGCTTTCCTATTTGCTTGGTAATGACAATTGATATTTTTAAAATATCTAAGATTTGTAAATTTATCATAATCCAAAGAGGTACTTCGTCTGAACCGTCATCATTACAACAAACAACAATTAATACTATATAAATTAAAGTAATAATCCCTCTATATTAAATTTTTTTGGTACCAACATTATTATTTTATAGAGGTTTTATTGCAGCTTAGAGTTTGACGTTACAAATGAGCAGCGAAGAATGTAAAATTTGGATGCAAATGATTCAGACAGAATGCTAATTATTTTGCTCGACTTGCGATTGTTCATTTTGTTTCCAAGTAATTTGCAACAGCATCCATAATATCGACCAGTGGTTTGATAGTTGCAAATGAAGCATTGGCAACAAAATCTTCCTCTACCTCGTACTCAATTGTGGCTTTGGTAATGCATGAATTTTCTTCGTTTTCTATAACTTCTAATCGACCACGATAAAACTTAAATCCCATATCAAGATATCCACCTTCAACCACATCAATTTCCTTCACTCGTCTCTCATCATCGACTATGGTAAATTTCTCTTTACGAGATGACAATCCTGCACCTAGTTATTCAAGTAATAAGTTAGTATTAAGCGCCTGTTTGTTTTTCATTTTTTAACCCCATAATGCATCATATGATCGTTGCCGTCCTGAGAATGGATCACACTGTGAGATGCTAAGTCAAAAAGACGGCTGGTCCAAAAACTTGTTAAATTGGGGATTAAAATGAGAAACAATCAGGCGCTAAATCTTTCACTATACCTTCATAAATACTAAGAAACTCAGATAATCTCGTTTGTCTGATTGTTACAACTTGCTACTCGATCATTGAATAAGAAAGTAGCAAATGTAATCTGTCTGAAATGTATTGATATATTTAATTGATAATTAATTACCTGAAGAAAAAATTATCTCAATAATTGTCCCGGCTCCTCCATCACCTTCTACGACTTCAATTTTTTGAAACCATTGTGGAAGCGTTTCTTGAGCAATTTTGCCGAGTTCAAGCGTACCGTAGACCTTCCATGCCTCGCTTGCTGGCACGTTAACTTCTCTCTGATCGGAAGCTGTTCCAAACATACTGTTGACTCGTAAAAAAGCGGATCAATCAATTTGGAAGTCTTAAGGTAAAAACTCAATTGTTACCTTTTCAATAATAATAATAAAAAAAACATTAAGTTGAAATCAACAAATGATATTTATCAGCCATACTTGAATGTAAAGCTTTAGACGACTTAATTACGCCGGTTCTGATGGCTAGCTGGGGGTGGAGATGCTAAGCGCGCAACCCCTCTGACGGCTGTGGAGATGCTGAGAACAGAGCCTAAGCCTAAGGTAGGGTGTTTTTTTAAATTTATTTATAATGGTAGTTGGCTGCTGTATGAAGTCAAACATTTGAAAGGAAAAATAGTGAGCCTGCCGTAGTTGAACCAATTCTTCTTCTATGGTTGCAAAGTCCAGGATGGGCCTTGATTTTCCACAAACATGCATCAAGGCCAGCCAGCACCAAGAAAAGTCCAATTGAACTACCTACCTTTGACCTCTTTAAATTAATCTCAATAATTTATAATATATGACATTAATCTAAATTCATGAAACGGGAATATAGGCCGGATCGTTACATATATAGAGTACCATATTTCTTTTCCGTTGTTGTGATATTGAACTCTAAACCTCATATTACCCAACAAGCTATAACATGTGTGTGATTTGAATGATCAAGAAGAGAAATACACGAGTGAATGACACTATAATTTACACTTTTATTAGACGAAGTAGGATCATCATCCATACCTTCAACTTTCTCTTCATGACGGTCTCGCGACGATGCAATTGTTATGACATCTTCATCCAATACGAAACTAAATTACACGATAAAGATTTTTTAACTAACTAAAAGTAGCATTGTCAAATAACGATAGTAATTTTTTTATGTAGATGTTCTACAAATTAATAACTTTCGCTAATCAATAAATTACTGTACAATGTTCGTATTTTAACAAATTAGCCTTTGTTTGACAAAATTTACATTTTATAAATGGTCAAACTTCATTTTCATATATTCATATATACTTATTGATCACCACTCATATTTATCTATTTATAAATTAAACCATTTATAATTTTTTCCAAACTGGGGCTTAAACGTATGAAAAATTAGAGTTGAGCTCCAATCTTTAAGTAGTGTGGAAACGGCTCATCAATTTTTAAAAGTGAGATTTTGACTCTAATCCACATTTCCACCACTGCGCGCACGACCTCAGGATAATAATTTACTTAGAAGAATTAACCAAAATCGAATAGCAGTTGCAGTGGAATGGAAGTCCTCAAAAACTCTGAACCCTAAAAAATACATACCAATGCAAATATTGCATTTGCGGACAGAGCAAGATTGAGAATAAATACATCGCAATATTGGTCCCATTCGTTCCATTAGATCTCCTAAAATGAATATCGCAATATTTGAAGAAATGACCCAATTTATATTGGTAATTTTCAGATTCAACTCATTCTCCAATCTTGAAGGGTTAGATGGTGAAATTTATTGCTAGCGAGTTCATTACTAATTAACGATTTTTTTCATTTCAGTACATGCGCTACATAACTAGTCACAAGTTCTTCAAAATATACCAAGAACCTACGTAAACGATCGGACGTATAGCCTGAAAACAAGTCAAAAGTAGCGATGACCACGAATTAGATTTATTAAACTCATTTTGTGCAATCATTCTTATTTATATCTTGATATTACGATCTCATTAGCCATTTGCAATTTTTTCTGTAATTTTATATTTTTTAGGGTAGAATCATCTTTTCATAGAGCTGTTAATTTGTCAAGTAGGATTTTATATTTAAGGCGGTGATTTGGCTATTTAAAAAGACAAAATTTTGACTAGAATAGAAGAAAATTGGAAAAATCTTCGGATCTGGCCTCAATGCTCCACCGAATGTTGACACTAGCACGATGGGAACCGGCACATTCACACATATATATTATCAAGAACCCTAGAAAGCCAAATTTCCAAAATTATTAAATTCATTCTTTACATCACTTTCTCTTGGCCTCCCTCTCTTTCACTGTACACTGTCTTGGAATTTACAGCCTCCAAAAATCAAACACACAAGTTAACAATAAAACCCCACTCACTGTATATATGCATCACTATCTGTAATTCTAAAGTCTCATGGGTAACCGCAAGAACTTCAATATTTTCATCTCTCTCGTTCTTCTTCTCGCACTGATGATGTCTTTCACATATCCTTCGGAATTGCATGAAACCCAACCCACCGCAGCTCCATCGATGGCGCCGCCAGCAAAGTACCAGAAGTTCGATGTCAAGAAATCGACGCCATTCTTCTTGAATAAACAAGGGCGTCAGAACAAGAAAGTGAAGGGTTTGAACAGGAAGGAAATGAAGAAAAAGAATGCAAAGCCTTTCTTGGTTATGCTTCCAAAGGGTTTTGTCCCTCCTTCAGGCTCATCACCATGCCATAATCTGTACCCCAATTCAGTCACTTTCTTTTGTGCTCTTTCTACTGAAAGACGACCTTGAAGAACAGTCCACAAGATGAAGAAATCAAAGGAAAATGCTTCAAAAGAAATGCAGATGATTATTAATCATCGTTTTTTTTTACAGCATACGGATATATATGGTATCCCCCGGGAGAAAGGTCAAGTAGGCAGAAATGACACATAGATGAGGAATTATGAGTTTCAATAATACGTATGCACGCATCAAGATGTATAACTACAAATCTTGAATATACTGTATGCAGTTTTATCTGCGTTTCATTTATTGTAGTTTACAATTGTTGCGAGGGTTTTCAATTTGCATACTGGTTATGTTAATCCTGTAATGTATGAATAATAATACGTTAAAAGTTAATAAATTTTTTATTTTTCTTGTTAATCTGATTGTTTTATTAATTTCGCCCGGATTCGTACCGGAACACGCTCTATATGAAATTTCTGTTCTCAGATTTGGTGATTGCATAATTTGATTATTACCCTTTCTGCATATTATGATTTAATCAAGATTTTAAGGTTATGGAGGGGAAAAATGTATTCATTAATTCTTCACATAGAATGGGATATTCTGAAATGTCTGTTCTGTTGACTTTTGACATCTGAGGATATTTACTGTTTATTTATTGACTTAAGGTCAAATACATAATTAATTTAATTAAAGCCGGGAATTGAGTAAAAAGCATATGGAATTTCCATAGTTTAAGAGAATTGTTCCATGTGTACTCCACAGTTTCTTAGCGTTTACTCCATGCATGCATGAAATGAGTAAATATTTCTGCTCTTCACGATGTTCTTACACAAATCTATGCATGGGATTAATAATTTTTTAAAAGCAAAACAAAGGCAAATTCATGAAGCTATGCCGTACACCTTAATAATGCTAAAATTACTTATGTAAAGCTGTACAACTCACTAATGCAGCTGTGTGTGTTTAACAATATCCCTATTCATGGTATATATATATTTATATATATAGAGGGTTGTACGAATAAAGAAATAAAGTAGTGTCATGTCAAGCATCAAGCTAGTATAGAGCTCAACCTTGTATGGGTCGAGTTGGACTAGCATTGAGCACTTTCCCGGATGGGATGGTTTAACCAACTTTGATAACATTATGTCCATGCAGGGGCGGACCCAGCACCTGGCCAGCCCCCGCGGCCGCCCGTGCTGGGTTCGCCGGGAAGGCAGCAGCCTGCAGCCGGCGATCAGAAATTTTTTTTTTTTT